AATAATAATAACAATAATAATTGAAGGTAAGAACTGAATAGATCTTTTTGTCAATAAAATAGAGGCAATGTGGGTATTTTCTTGCTCTGTCTATTAGCCTACACAGGTTACTACTCTTTGGTTTTTGAGAAAAAAACATTTAGTAAATGCCTTTTTATACCACAAAAGAATAAGCATGTACATAAGAAATTAGTGCAGCCCGTCTGAAGGCTATAATGAAGACCTTGACTACAAGGCCCTACAAATGCATTTTAAACAACCCCTTCTGGCCAGGTTAGACCTATAATCTCTGGGAGGCCAAAGCTATGGCTGTGCCACTGCACTCCAACTGAGGTGACAAAACAAAACTCATGTCTCTAGAAAAATAAAATAAAAGGCTCTTTTTACAAGGCATGCATACACCAATCATTTCTTACTTTTATCATTTTTCTCTGTGTCACAGACTTCAGTGAAAGCTTTTTCCAGTTTTGCAATGGTCTGGGCATCCATTTCTTGGGCTATTTTCACGGGGTCTAATAGTCGCAGTCTTCTATTCTCCTCCCGGAGGGAATGATTTTCCATGGCATACTTTGCAACTCTGGGGTGGTGTTCTATCTATAACATAGAAGAGTTCCAAGCATTATATATTCACAGGTATTTCCTTTGTAAATCTGTCCCTCTAAGAAGCCATTAGAAAAGTTCAGGAATGTGCACACACTACTGGTATATCCTGCTGCCACCATTATGGAAAGCAACTTGGTATTTGTGATCGAGAGTGAAAGTATGGGCTCGGCGCCTGTGGCTCAAGCGGCTAAGGCGCCAGGCACATACACCTAAGCTGGCGGGTTCGAATCCAGCCTGGGCCCGCCAAACAATAATGCAACCAAAAAATATCTGGGCGTTGTGGTGGGTGCCTATAGTCCCAGCTACTTGAGGGGTGGAGGCAGGAGAATTGCTCAAGCCCAGGAGTTGGAGGTAGCTATGATGACACAGCACTCTACCCAGGGTGACAGCTTGAGGTTCTGTCTCAAAAAAAGAAAAAAAAAGATTGAAAGTATGAATATCCTACAACTCTGCAATTCTAAGTTGGAGTCCACACCCTTGAAACTTTCACCCAGGTTGCTAAGGAGATAAGCACAAAGGTGTACGTTATGTACATTAGGGCTAACTCTTCCTGCAAAGGAGATTGGTTCAATCAACATACCAAAAAGAATATGGAAAACTACTGATCAAGATTGAATTGCCTTCTATTAGCTAAAAGAGCAAGGTGCAGAAATGTGTGCAAGAGAAATAAAAGTAAAAATATCTATCCATGATTAGTTTGAATATGCTTTAAAAACTCCAGAAGGTACGCAAAAAGCTGGTGACAGCTTTGGAGTTAGTCCCCCACACTGTGCCTGCTTTACCTATCCATCCTCCCTAGGGAAAAGGAAGAACATCTGTAACAACAACAATTTTAAAGGCTCAAATTCTATAAAGAGACTAGAGATTCAGATAACCCCAACTTCCCATTATGGTGAATTTTCACTTGGCCTGCTGGGGTTGAGTGCTATGTAGTGATATTACCACAACTTCTTCCCTTTTCCCTTCTCTTCCCTTTAACTGCCTCGATAAGGGGGGAAAAGGAATCTTACAGTCACACTGTCTGCTGAATTCATATAAATCAATTTCCATTATATTAAAGAATAAGTATTTTGTGACAAATTTATATTTCCTTTGAACTTCTTTTATTTTTAGAAATACTACAAATGCCATGTACTCACTTGTTCTCGCAGAGTTTGAATCTCATCCCTTAATTCTGAGAGCAAACGATCCTGCTCCTCAGCCAGAAAGCTGCCCCGGGATTCCTTGTGGAGCTTTTCCAGGCGTATTATTTGATCCTCTCGGAATTTCACAATCATTTTATTTGATTGAATAAATTTTTCCTTTTTGAGGTTGAGGTCTTCTAATTGGGTAATTTTTTCTATTAGAGACTTAAGAAATTCATAATTTGGTTAAACATGAAAAGTAATTCAGCCTCCCTAAAATTTCACAAGCCCAGCAACAAATACTGCTTTAATCTTAAAGGGACACTGCTAACAGAGAGAACATTAAAAGAGAACAGAGAAAATTTAATCTTAATGGCACACAATCTTCCTTTACTTTCCTTATTGAGCTGCTGCCATTTATTTCACTCAATAGGGCAACAAAAACCACATAGTAAAAGCCTAAAATAACTTGAATCCCCCTTATTACTAACTCAGTTTTCCTACCTTCTTTTCCTGTTCAGATTTCTTAAAGAATAGCATTGCCTCCTGGAAATATTTCATGTAATCAGTCTTCTCTTTGTCTGTAATCAATCCAGTAAGAAATGAAAGGGAAAAAATAATTATTTCTCAAATTTTAAAACCAAGAGATGAGCTAAAACAGCCTTTAACTGCTTTCAACTAATCTAAAACGACCAGACCATCATCAGCAGATTGTGGATTTCAAATTAGCCCATTCTACATAACAGCTTGTCCTTCAAAGAAAAATAAGTTTCTCTTTATTTAGTTAATATATATTATACATTATAAATGGTATGACAGAATTAGAAGTGGATCTAAAAAAAACTACTGGAAGAGTCCCAGGCAGGGGGATCCCCTGAGATATAATTCACCCTCTTGGTTTTATGTATTTCAAAGTAATTCATTCTCCACTAGCTATTCTTTAATAAAAGTAAGTCTCTGTCATGCTAATCTATATATGTTTACTAAATTATTAAAATGTTTATTTTAGTAAACATATATAGATTACACATACTATGAATTTAAGAAGTATATATAAATGAAATTACTCTTCTTTTAGCACTTTTTTGGGAAAATATATATATATATATATATATTTAAAGACAGTGTTGCGCTTTATTGCCCAGGCTAGAATGCAGAGGCCCGGCCATAACTCACTGTAACCTTGAATTCCTGGGCTCAAGCGATCATCTGCCTCAGCCTCCTGAATAGCTAAGAGTATAGGTTCGTGGTGCCATGCCCACCTAATTTTTACTTTTTTTGTACAGACAGGGTCTCACTATGTTATTCAGGCTAGTCTCAAACTTTTGACTTCAAATGATCCTCCTGCCTCGGCTTCCCAAAATGCTGGGATTACAGGGGTAAGCCAACACTTCAGGCCTATTCAAAATTATTTTATCTCCCCTCCACCATATCTCATAGAGCTCAGTGTCTATGGTTATCTATTATCTGATTATAAACAACATACTATGTTCTTATAGGTGCAGGTGAAATAAACAGAAAGAAGTAAACAGAAGGATACAGTCTGAGTCATAAATAATCCAACTTATGTACAACTCACACTTAATGAGTACTCATTTAACAGTTAAGTCCCTGAATTATAAACACCCAACTGATAATGCACTTCACACTTATGAATGGGGCTATGATAGGTAATATGTAAATGTATCTGTTCCAACTTACATACAAATTTAACTTAAGAACAAATCTACAGAACCTATCTCATTCTAACTCAGGGACTGCCTGTACTTGCAGAAAAATCTGGGTAGCGTTATCCTGTGGTGACTATTTATCATTGGAGGGTGCTTATATTTGTACAGTCTCCTCTAAGATAAAGACATTGTGCACTTCCTACCTCTGGTCAGAAAGCTTTCTGGTGGTGTCCGCCCTGAAGTAAGCTGGGCCAGCTGTTCTTTCAGCCTCTTCACTTCAGCTTGGAGCTGGATCACATTTCCTTGGGTGTCTTCATTTACCACTGCCTGTTCAAGAATTTTTTAAAAAGCATCAACAGAATGCCTTTAGAGTGGGATAGTCCTGTGTTGACATTTGTTGGTATGATTTAGTGATGAACAGGAAAGAAAACCTCACTTCCATCTCACAGTCCAAAGTCCATGGGAATCACAGTGTGCTGGAGTACGGAAGATGCTTCCTTTTCCTCTACCTCCAGAGAGAGACCAGCACCAGCCAGGCTCTCCCCCTCTAAGATCCTACTTTCTTCCTACCTTTCTTGACTAGCCCTGGGCCTTTAGGCTGGGTCTCCCTTAGGATCGGAGTGTGTTCATCTAATACTTCCTTCCCCGTGAGAACGACAGCGTCACTCTATTCTCCCAATGGAGAAGAGCAAACACTTTATTTTTTACCAGCTCTCCTGGTAGGAGGGGTTGGATCTTTTCCCCCACTCTAAATGATATCTTCATTTTCTTTTCTTTTCTTTCTTTCTTTTTTTTTTTTTTTTGAGACAGAGCCTCAAGCTGTCCCCCTGGGTAGAGTGCCATGGCATCACAGCTCACAGCAACCTCCAACTCCTGGGCTCAAGTGAGTCTCCTGCCTCAGCCTCCCAAGTAGCTGGGACCACAGGCACCCGCCACAACCCCGCCACAACACCAGCCATTTTTTTTGGTTGCAGCCGTCATTGTTGTTTGGCGGCCCGGGCTGGATTTGAACCTGCCACCTTAGGTGTATGTGGCTAGCGCCTTAGCCGTTTGAGCCACAGGTGCCGAGCCAAAAATAAAGTTTATTAATTAAAATAATAAATTTTAAAGAAGACCCACAACACCAAGAGGCTAATAAAAAGTGCCAACAGGTGAGCACCTAAGACTCAGTGAGGAGAAAACACCCTCTGACAGCCCCAAGATGCCCTCCCTGTGTTCTTGTCGTAGGCCCAGCCTGCTCCTTGGGAAAGATTTAGATAGATCATCCTTAAACAAGCCCCAGATACCTTGGCACTCTCCACTGAAAGGCTCCAGCAGGGGGACTCACCATTGCAGAGACTAGGATAGGCTCCTGGTTTTGTTGTTTTGTATGTTAAGAAGCCATGTCCAGTTGCTTCTGACACTTATGGCTAGGCTCATTATGAGGCACTACTGTGTTTCTGATATCACTGTCACATTGGTGACATCATAATTCTAATTATCACTGCAGTTCTCTACTCTCCAAAGACTTTTAGTAAGTCTCAAGAGACATAGGGCCAGAAAATTCTAATGATTTTTCCTCCTCATATCACTCATACCCCAGAGGAAGTATCATAATCCAAGGAAGTAAAATGAGTAACCACTAGACCTATATTCTTCTCATGTATGGAAGGAAAGAGGCAACATGGACCTCTTTACTCTATGATCAGATGATTTAAGGGGTCTACTTTAGGGGGTAAAAAAGATCAATTTCTCCCTTGAAAGATGGAAGAAATTAATCTACCAATTTATGGCATTATAATTCTTTTGTCTAGAACCAAGGGTCTCTGCCTCTCCAGAATAAGTAGACAACTCCTTGGTCATTTAACAGTCTGCACCAAGGGTTGACAAAATGCTGCCGATGGGCCAAACGCTGCCTGTTTTTTGAATCAAGCTGCACTAGAGCACAGCCATTTGTTTACATTGTTATTATATTTAATCTCATTTGTCTATGGCTGCTTTCTCACTACAAATACAAATTGAATAATTGAGATGGATCATGTGACCCAAAATGCAAAAAATATTTACCATCTGGTTCTTTTTTTGTTTGTTTGAGACAGTCTCACTTACGTTGGTAGACTGCCATGGAATCACAGCTCACAGCAACCTCAAACTCTTGGGCTTAAGCTATTCTCTTGCCTCAGACTCCCAAGTAGCCGGTACTACAAGCACCCACCACAATGCCCAGCTACTTTCTTTCTTTCTTTTTTTTTTTGTAGTTGTCATTGTTGCTTTAGCTGGCCCGGGCTGGGTTCAAACCTGCCAGCCTCCGTGTATGTGGCTGGCACCCTACCCATTGAGCTACAGGTGCCGCCACCATCTGGTTCTTTATAAGAAAAGTTTACTGGCCAGGTACAGTGGCTCACATCTGTAATCCCAGCACTTGGGAGGCCAAGGTCGATAGATTGCCTGAGCTCACAGGTTCAAAACCAGCCTGAGCAAGAACAAGACCCCATAGACAGGCACTGTGTGGCAGATGCCTATTGTGGCAGGCACCTGTATGCAAGAGAATCACTTAAGCCCAAGAGTTTGAGGTTGCTGTGAGCAATGATGCCATGACACCCTACCAAGGACGACAACGTAAGACTCTCAAAAAAAAAAAAAAAAAAAAAAAAAAAAAGTTTACTCACCACTGGTGTACACCAGTATCAAAGTTCTTGAATATCAAGTAAAATGGGGAAATCTTAGATATGATATTATGAAATATATATTTGATCTTAGCCCTGTTTTTTGGCTAAAATCCTTGGACTCTCTAAAATGATAAATGTCTTTTTGCCTGCTAATAAGTTGATTGGTAGCTGGCAGTCACTAGGCAGCTTCAGGATGGGGGCCGGTTTCAGGAAAGAGCAAGGCTGACTATTAAGCTGATCATCAACAGCCAATGGTTTAATGAATTGTGCCTAGTAATGAAGCCTCCATAGAAACCCAAAAGGACTGGCTTGGAGGTTTCAGATAGCTGAATACGTGGAGGTTCCTAGAGGGTGGTGTGTCTGGAGAGGGCAGGGAGCTTCGCACCACTACCCATACCTCACCCTATGCAACTCTTCATTGTATTCTTTGCCATATCCTTTATAATAAACCAGTAAGTATGTTTTCGTGAGTCCTATGAGCCACTCTAGCAAATTAACCTAAAGAGGGGGTCATAGGAAGCCCAATTTATAGCCTGGTCTGAAGCATAGGTATATAGTAAAACAATCTGGGGATGGGAATTGGCATTAGAAGTAGGGGATTGTTTGGGAGGACTGAGCCCTCAACCTGTGGGACCTGACACTATTACCAGGTAGATAGTATGAGAACTGGAATTTAATTGGAGAACACCTGGTTGATGTCCACCTCAGAACTGACTGACTGATTGGGTTGTGGAACAGAGATATTCCCATATACTTTTTGGTGACCACAGGTCATAGAGCCTTCTGTGTTAATTGTTGAGTGAGAGAATTGAAAAAACACTATTTTTAACCTATATCCTCAGATTAGAGCTGTGGACCACTTGAAAGACAAAGTTTGTCAATGTTTTCAAATTACTCTCACATGTACAGGGTTCCCTCTCCACCAAACACGCAGGCAGGTGCACACAGACACACACACATCTCTGCTGCATGCTTTAAAGTAATTGCTTTCCAACTCAATTACAAAGTAAAAACTTTGCCTTCCCTTAATATAAAACTACTAAATAATAACAACCATAAGATCTAACCTAGGTAGGTTTTTTAATTTCATGTATGATATAAAAGGCTATGAACAATGAAACAGAAATATTGCATACGGTAAAATAACTTTTACAGAGAAAAAAAGTTAATGTCAATATTAGAGCAATTACAAAAATGGCTGACTGCAACCTTAAATATTTTCTAATTTATTTAATAAAATATACTCAAAAATATTTTACCTTGTTTTTAATCAGCTTGGCTCTTTGAGCAAAATTAAGTGTTGATAGGGTTTCCCCAAAACACCTAGATCCAGGATGAACATTTGCAATTATGGCTGTTTTGGCGTTACCTCCAAGGGAGTCCTGTGATATGAATGGTGCACATTTTCACGTGAGAAATTACAAGATCTTTTTAAGCAAAGAAAATGTATTCCTTTGCTACTAAGGCTGAGCAATTGCCCCACCATCAACCTTAGTGAGCATAACCAAAAGAGCCCAAGAGCCCAAAGATCTACTTTACCCGTAGTAAGAAGGTAAGTTTAGAGTCTCTGTAGCACACATGTCTCTGTTTTCCATTCCCCACATCGACAAGGGCAGTAATCACTTGGCCCAGGCAGCTCAGTGATCGGTTTATGTTACCTGCTTCCTAAAATGTTGGGAATAAGGACAAAGGTTAGGTGTACTGGTTACTTTTTGGTGTTTTGAATGAAAATGTATCTAGCTGAGTGATAATTTTGGATGGAAAGGCAAGTCAGGGCCAATGTTAATAAAGAACAACTAACTTTTTAGCAATGAAAATGTCCTCAACTATCCCCTAACCTTTTCCTATTTGATGTACAGTATAATTTTACCGTTAGAAGACAAACACAAAAATCATGCAAAGAAAAAAATATTAATGCCACATCATGATTGTAATAGTTTAAAGATAACTTGCAGGTAGAGATAAAGACCAGAACAAAATAAAGGGGAGGAAGGGTATAATTATGCTAAACAGTTTAAGAGTATGGTAACTAATAACCCAAAGTCACTGATGAACTTCTTATAACAGAATATTCAGTCTAATTCTGTAAAGGATAATAAAACCCCTCTAAGACAGTAGTTTAGGGAGAAAAGAAAAATGTTAGGGTTAAATATGTTACATTGGATTTTTGCTGCAGGTAGCATATTTTGATAACTGGGTCTATAGTGATGGAAATATAAAAAAAAAAAAGTAAAAAGTACAAGATGTGCTGAATTCAGAGTTACCACTATGTGTTATTATACAGTAATTCAGAAAGGTTGTTTTGTGGCATGGTTGAGAGTACGATCTGCAGAGCTGGACTACTTTGGTTTGAATATCAGCTCTACCCTTATTAGCCATATGATTTTGGACAATTTACTTTAATTTCTTAACCTATAAAATAGAAAGGATAAAAGCACCTACTTCTCAAGAGTTGTTCGGAAGGCTAAATGAGTTAATATACGTAAAGCGCTTTACAACAGGATTGGCATATGTTCTTTAAGCAGCTTTCCCTATTTTTATTATGCTGCCTATTTCTTTTTTTTTTTTTGAGACAGAGCCTCAAGCTGTCCCCCTGGGTAGAGTGCCGTGGCATTACAGCTCGCAGCAACCTCCAACTCCTGGGCTCAAGCGAGTCTCCTGCCTCCGCCTCGCAAGTAGCTGGGACCACAGGCGCCTGCCACAACGCCCGGCTATTTTTTGGTTGTAGCCGTCATTGTTGTTTGGCGGGTCCGGGCTGGGGATTCGAACCCGCCACCTTAGGTGTACGTGGCTGGCGCCTTAGCCGGTTGAGCTATAGGCGCCGAGCCTATGCTGCCTATTTCAATGGAAGCATGAGCTTTAGATTGCCTGAAACTGTCCAAGAGTTCAGGAGGCCCAAATCCTCACATTTAATGCAAAAAGCTTCTCTCTTCCTCACCACTACTAACTCTTCTGCCCTAACCCATGTGTATCTAAAACTATACAAATTTTATTGTCAATTCATATTACAATACATACATACATATTGACGATATACCACATTGAACCTTTGGTCCCTTTGCTAATACCTTAAGCTAGGACTAGGTCCTTAACCCTTGGCTCCTGAGCTATATTAACAGCATAACCTGTCTTTCTCATTAGGCTCTCCCCTCTTGAATCTGATAGTGGTGGATCAGATGGTTTTGTTTTTATACCAAATGGTTCTGACTTACTTCATGAAATCATTCATTTGCTCAAAATTTTTAAGTGTATCCCAGTGTTAAGCAGAGTCCAAATGTGGCCTGCCACTCCTGGTCCTTGATGATTGGGACCTACTTGCCTCTCTAGTCAACCAATTCAGTGACCCATGCTGAAATGCCAAATGTTAACACTCATTCTGCACCCAAAATAATCCCTGAGATGTCCCCCTTCCCAGCATGTATTTCCTATCCCTCTCCCTCCACCAAAATCCTTTAAAGCAACAACTTAAGAACTACTTCTTTTCCACACTTCCCTCTCTCTAAGCAGACCATGTCACATTCTTTTTCCTGTAACCTCTGCTGTCTCCTGTACTATTATCCCCTCTGGCATAAATTTAAACATTCTTGCTATTGTCAGATTTGCCCTACTCCATTTATGTTTACTATACCTATCCCATAACAAAAATTTCTGTTCTTTTCAGATAGAAACAATCTCAATTATTTGCAACCTTTACAACTCTCAGTTTGGTACACTCATACATCGCTTAATGACAGGGATACCTTGGGAATAATGCATCACTAAACAATGTCATCATTGTACAGACATTATAGAGTGTACTTATAAAATCTAAATGGTATGGCCTCCTACACATCTAGACTGTGTCTTATGGGACCACCATCATATACACAGTCCTTCCTTGACCCAAAATGCCACTATGTGTCACATGGCCAAACTGACTTTTGGGAAGAATTCACACACAGATTGAAGAGTATAATTTCACTCTTACCTTCAACCTCATCCCTTCTGCATGGGTATCTTTTTGCCTTTCAGATCCTGCTAAATCTACCAGATTGAGCAGGGAGGTCCGTATATTCACAATCTCATTGCTTTTCTCCATGGACTCTATTATAATGGTAAAGACTGCATGAGACCTAGAGGATTCTCTGTTCATTGATGTTGATGCCACACGTCTGTTCCTCCATCCTCCAGACAGCACCTAGGCAAAAGGAAAATATATTAAAAGAAGCAACAGTATCCTTAAGACAAAATTAAAACATAAAATAAGCACTTGAAAATCACTCATTTTAGTAAGAAAAATACTAACATAAAGCTAATTACCTACTTTCAAAATGTTTACACAAGAGTATTTTCTCCCCTCTAGAACAGGAGGGAGGAGGAATGCTATGGACTTTCCATTGTTATCTAGCTTTCTAAGAGAAATTATACTATCATAAGTTCCAAGTGGTATACAACAGACACCAAAATCAGTAGGAAATCTGGAGTGGTGAGAGGGATTACTGGTTCATCAAGGAAGGTACACAAGTTTCTTCTCCTTTGAGTTCCCTCTCCATGCTACAGAAAAAGGACAGGAAATCAGAAGGCATAAGATCTACAACTGGTCTGGACACCCTCTATTTGTGTTAATTTAATGTAAATCACAAAACCTCTCCATACCCCTTTCCTTAACTAGTTACTAGACAATGAAAACGTTAGACAAGAAAAATCTCCAAATTATCTTGAAGCCTAAAGTTTTGTTGGTTCTTTTAGCCTACGAAGTATTTTTACTCTTTATTTATTTATTTTAGACAGAGTCTTACTTTGAGTGCCATGGCATCATAGCTCATAGCAACCTCATACTCTTGGGTTCAAGTGATCCTCCTGCCTCAGCCTCCTGAGTAGCTGGCACTGTAGGCGCCTGCCATAGTGCCTAGCCAATTTTTTTTCTTTAGGAATGAGGTCTCACTCTTACTTAGGCTGGTTTCCCCTCTATTTTCTATGACAAGCAGGATATGTGAAGGTTTAGACCGCCGGCTCTGGAATCAGATGAACATGAGTTCAAACCTTGATCCATAATTTACTAGGTATGGTCTGGGACCAGTTGAATCTTTTCAGAGCTCAGTCTTCATATCTATAAAATGTAAATACGGGTACCTGCCCCAGAGGGCAGGACCCCTAGTTTAATGTACGTATAAATCATCTAGGAATCTTGTTAAAATTCAGGCTCCAATTCAGTGTGAGTTGGGGCCTAAGATTCTGGTCTCATTTTGTCACCCTGAGTAGAGTGCTGTGGCATCACAGCTCACAGCAACCTCAAACTCTTGGGCTTAAGCAATTCTCTTGCCTCAGCCTCCCAAGTAGCTGGGACTACAGGCGCCTGCCACAACACCCGGCTATTTTTTGGTTGTAGTTGTCATTTTTGTTTGGCAGGCCCAGGCTGGATTCAAACCTGCCAGCTCTGGTGTATATGGCTGGCGCCCCAGCTGCTGATCTATAGGCGCCAAGCCAAGATTCTGCTTTTCTAACAAGCTATTAGGTAATGCTGATATTCTGAGGACTGTATTTTCAGTAGCAAGTTCATAATAAACACAAGGTAAAATGGGAAAATTAGTATCTTTACTTCAAAGAATATATTTAAAATTAAATAATGCATACAAAAAAATTTAACATAGTGCTTCATACCGACACTCCATAAATGTTATAACTGGGCAGTGCCCATAGCTCAGTAGGTAGGATGCCAGCTACATACACCAAGGCTGGTGGATTCAGACCTGGCTTGGGCCAGCTAGAACGATGACAACTGCAACAACAACAAAATAATAGCTGGTGCTGTGGTGGGTGCCTATAGTCCCAGCTACTTGGGAGGCTGAGGCAAGCAAATCGCTTAAGCCCAAGAGTTTTGAGGTTGCTATGAGCTGTAATGCCATGGCACTCTAACCAGTGCAAGAGCTTTAGACTTTGTCTCAAAAGATAAATAAATAAAATAAATGTTACAACCCTCTCTATTAATGAGCCACAGTATAAAATTAAAATTATTTATATTTTTTAATTTATTGGATAGTATTTTATGCTTCCTTTTCATGCCATTAAATTCTGTATATTAAATATTAAGTAAATCTTAAGTGAAAAAAAATTAAGTAAATCATGATACATTCATACCACTATAAAAAAAACAAAAAAGAGAGCTCCTCAAACATAGGACAAACTCCAAAATAATATTATCTAAAAACACCAAGGTGTTGCGGGTGTGGTGGCTCACATCTGTAATCCTAGCACTCAGGAAGGCAAAGGTGGGTGGATTGCCTGAGCTCATGAGTTTAAGACCAGCCTGAGCAAGTGTGAGATCCCATCTCTAAAAAAAAAAAAATAGCCAGGGATTGTGGTGGGCATCTGTAGTCCCAGTTTTTACTAGGGTGGCTGAGGCAAGAAGATTGTTTGAGCCCAAAAAACTGAGGTTGCTGTGAGTTATGAGGCCATAGCACTCTACCAAAAGCGACGAAGTGAGAATCTCTCTCAAAATAAATAAAAACAAAAACAGAAAGGTATAAAAGTAGCACAGTATGGCATTACTTGTGCAACATAAGGGAGAAAAGCAAACACAAGTATGTTTGCTTGAATGCTTACACAAAAGTCAAAATATAAACAAAAATATTTAGTGAATGTTCATGAATTAGAAGAATCCACATGTTAACATGTCAATTCTACCAAAAAAGATCCATAGACTCAAAGCAATCTCACTCAAAATACTGGTGGCCTTTTTTGTAGAAATTAACAAGCTGGTTGTATATAAACAATAATGCAAAGGACCAAGAATAACTAAAATGATCATTCAAAAGAACAAAGTCGGAGGACTTACCCTACCTAATTTCAAGATACTACTCAGCAATAAGCTACAATAATTAAAATAGTTTTATATTGGTGAAAAGAGATAAAATAGATCAAGAGGACAGAAAACAGTCATATAAACACATACATATATGGTCAACTGATTTTCATCAAAGGTACAAAGGCAATTCAATGGGACAGCCAAGCACCATGACACATGCCTACACTCCAACTACTTGGGAGTCTGAGGTAGGAGGACTGCTTGAATCCAGGAGTTCAAGGCCAATCTGGGCAAATAGGGAGACCACCCAACTCAAAAAGGAAAAAAAAATTTTTAAAGGCAAATTAATAGTAAAAAGAAAAGTTTTTTTCAACAAATCTTGTTGTTAACTGGATCAAAAATAAGAAGGCAAGAAAATAGTACTAAATAAAACAGACAAAAACACCAAGGAAGACAATAAAAACTAGTCCAACAGTATTAAAATCCTATTAATGTAAGTAAATGAGGTATGATAGTGTCAAGAATGGTTTTTTTTTTTT